AATAGTGTGTTTTTGTACTAATTAATAATAGTGTATTTTTTTACTAATTAATAATAGTGTGTTTTTGTACTAATTAATAATAGTGTATTTTTTTACTAATTAATAATAGTGTGTTTTTGTACTAATTAATAATAGTGTATTTTTGTACTAATTAATAATAGTGTATTTTTTACATATAGCTTTTGATAGGATAAGTTTTATCATTTATAAGAGTTTGTCTAATATAAACAATTCAAACTAAATTATTCGTTTGTAACGAACTTTGCACATATACAGAATTTCACACTAAACAAAATGTCGGTGAGTATAAAAACTAAACAAATACCCCCCCCCGGATGTTATCAACCGTGTTCTTTATAACTTTGCTTTCTTTATTTACTCTCTTTTTTACATTTTGAAATTAAAATAGGCTTGGTAATATTTAAAATCTTGTCTCCATCAGGAGCAAACCATTGGGATTTTACTTTTTTTTTTATTGTGATATGCATATTTCTTATCATATGTGTTTTTAGCTATTCTGATTATATCCTTCTTATGTAATAAAGTGATTGGTTAATACATTGATTTACTTACTCATTATGTACAAGATATTATTGTGTGTAAATAAACAATGAGCATAACTTGTAAACAGGTTTAAATATAGATGTGTTTAAATAAAGAGCTGGAAGTAACCGTGACATTCACCCAGAGGCAAGTAAGGTGAGAAATGGGGAGAAACTTAAGCTGATACTTTCCAAGGAGGGTTTTTTTCTTTACAGAAGGTTCCTAATGAAGAAGAACCACCTTTCGAACCTTCTAAATACTTCTAGTTATTATTATTTACCCAAAATTCCTTACTCTCTTACGTAGTTCAAAGTAAAAAATCTAAAGTTATTTGAGTTTTTGTTTTTAACATTTTGAAATCATTCAAAATTTGCCTGCTTATTATTTCTTTAGATTTTTGATAAAATATTGTCTATATTTACATGAATATCTGTTTTTTTTTCAGGACAAAGAAGATACCATCGAAGAAGTGACAGCTTACTTTGACCTTCTAAAGGCTATTTTAGCTGACCATTTAGATTTTAAAAAATATACAAAGTCTCTAAGTGGACACGGCAAACCTGAAACAGATAGCTTTGAACAATCTCATTTGAGTCCTGAAGCTAAAGAGGATGATAATTGTGTTTCATTTGCAACAGCTGCGTTACAACTGGTGTTTGCACATCCTGAAGCCATTAGTTGGTTTCTTAAGTATGATAAAGAAACTGGTGTTAGTCAACACGTAGTGCATTTGATCACTGCTTTTTACCTCAAATTAATAGGAAGTTCAGAAGCCATTTTGATGGTCACACCAACCTTGTGTAGCATGATTAAACCATTCATGAATAAAGTGCAGAGATTTTTAGAAGAAAATAGTGGCAAAGCTGTGCAGACATTCATGACGGAACAAGACAAACCTTTTAACTTGCAAACTTTGCTGATGCCAATTTTTAATTTTATTGACAAACCTAAAACATGTGACTTGCTGGAAGCCATCTTCAGGAACAACAGGTTGGAAACTTTAAGAGTGATAGATCCAGAGTTTATAGTCATCCAAAAACTTTTACAGAATCTCACAGTGAAAGATCACGATTTCTCGACCATGCTGTCATCCAGCTGTGTATCGGCATTGTTTCAGCTCTATGCTACAACAACAACAGAAGAGGCTGCATCGGCTCGATTAGGAAAATGCCTTTTGGATTTCCTCACTCAGTATCCACCCTATTGCGCTGCTGTTGAAGAAGGCAAGTAGTCGTAACTTTTGAGAATAAAACATAGTAGTTCTCTTTCGTAGAACAGCGTAAACTTTGAGCTATAGCACTAATAAGAGTGAGAGAGATATATACTTTCTTTAAACATATATTTTCACTTTACACACATCCTAAATAAATAGAGTGAAAGAATAAAGACATGGAACAATCTTCACAGGACTGTATATGTTAGTGCGTCATGCTTACATTTATTCTATATGGACAACATGATTTAAATAGAGTGAAAGAATAAACATGGAACAATCTTCACAGGACTGTATATGTTAGTGCGTCATGCTTACATTTATTCTATATGGACAACATGATTTAAATAGAGTGAAAGAATAAAAACATGGAACACTAACATATACAGTCCTGTGAAGATTGCGTCATGCTTACATTTATTCTTACATGATTCACTTGTTAAGTCTTTGTCAGTTTGTATACCATTTAGGTACTGTTCCTGTACATTAACGTAAAACTGGTGAAAATTGAAAAGAAATTGTGTGCTGTTCTGGAGAAGCTAACTTCTTAAGAACTCTATATATTCGAGACTTTCCTTATGTATCTTTTGATTCCCAAATCATTCAATCATTTATGCATGTTGTATATCATAAAAAATCCTTTGATAAATGTTAAAAAGGTTGTAATCTATTAAAATGTATACAGAAATAAAAACTTCCTGATAATGGATCATGCTACTGTATTTACTAGTGCTTTTAATATTACTGACACATTATCCTATCGATATTTAGCTATTAGATATGAATTTGTTTCTTTTTTTTTGTTTACAGAAACAGTATTATGTTTAATAGAAAAATTTCACGTGGAAAGTCTGAGGATCGTTGAACTTTTAGCGAAATCTTGTCCTGTCCACTTACAGACCTGTAAACATTGGCTTTCATCACATCAAAAAAATTTGGAATCGAGAGACAAAGTGGCTTTTATCTATTTTATTAATCTCTGTTTTCCACCATCTTGGATTCCTGGAACTCTTGAAAAATCTCTGTACCCTGTAATCTCACAGTTTTGGACTATCATCTGTGAAAATATCAAAGGAGAACTTAACATGGTCATTAAAGACAAAACAATTTTGGATTATACTTCAACTCTCGTATACAAATTGTCCACTGAGAAATTAATTGGTGAGCGTTTGTACCTAATTTGTTAATCTTTGTAGAGTTCAGTGAATTAAACCAATCTTCCATCTGTTTTGTATCACTGGATATGTATATTTGAGAATATATACAAGTTGTCACTTTGTTTCAGTACAAAGTTACTTTTTAAGCCTAATTCATTGTAAAATTGGCTATCAAGTTTTAAGGAGAGAAACAACTTTCTAACTTGTTGATTTGTGATTGCTGGTAAATATTTTATCACATCAAAATCCATAAAAGATATTATTAACATACAGCCAGTTATTACTAGTATTTATGTTTCTTGTATACAAATGTATATATTATTTTATATTTGTATTCAAAGGCAGCATCTGATATGAACTAAAGTTAACTAGTTCATTAACGTAATTAAGAGAAAGTCCTGTATTTTTAGATTAGGAATATTTTTTTCTTTTTAACATAACATTAAGGTTCTTGACATTCAATGCCATCAAATGTTAGTTCATTCAATGTTTATAAGAATTATTCTAGCATGATTGGATTGAATATTTTAGAAGAATTTGAAATATTTAAATTTCCAGTTCATCTTTTTTTTGTTATTACTATTTGTTTTTGATGAATTTTAGCACAACTAAAACTTTATATACAAGTTTTGAAGTATCATTAGGCTTAAGAAAAACTGATGGAATACAGACTTTTAAAAATAAAGAATAGTAAAACTGAATATTACTAAAATAGTATGCACTCTGTTGTTGAAACAGGTTACAATAGCAGTTGAAATTGAAATATATAAAATTAAAAATGATTTTAATGGATGATGCTAGAAGGAAAAAAAAGCAAACAGATAAGAATAATTTTTTTGTTACCTTTTACAATTATTAGAAAAAAAATGCCTTAGACTTGAAAATAAAATTAAATTCAAAAAGAATAAATTAGCTGTAAAAAGAAGCAGGTTTGAGTTAGGTTTTTTCAGTTTTTTAACTAATTTTTTTCAGATTCAGATATGATTCTGCAGCTAGTGGAATTTATTCACAGCGACGTTGTAGAGAATGGAAGGATACTCGGGGAGGAACAAATAAAGCTTGCACTGTGGCTGTTTAGAAGTTGTGCAGTTTTAGAGCACAAGGTGGCACAGGCAGAGCCTGCTGTTGCTCTAATCAGAGTTCTACTGATTTCTCTAATAAGAGCCTTGAACCAGAATACAGCTAACAAGGACGTACTTGTCGAGACATTGACGGATGTTGCTGAAGAAACTGTAAAGGTAACCTCAAGGTTTCTATAAAATTCTCTAGCCTTTTCATGTAGTAGAACAATTATTTATTAAAATCTAATTAACTGTTTAACAAGTTACAAACAGAATATTGTACTAAACAAAGTTTTTCATCTGTTTAACAAGTTACAATGTAGAAACAGAATATTCGATAAAACAAAGTTTTTCATCTGTTTAACAAGTTACAATGTAGAAACAGAATATTCTACTAAACAAAGTTTTTCATCTGTTTAACAAGTTACAAACAAGAAACAGAATATTCTATTAAACAAAGTTTTTCATCTGTTTAACAAGTTACAATGTAGAAACAGAATATTCTACTAAACAAAGTTTTTCATCTGTTTAAAAGTTACTTTTTTGAGGTTTTGCAAGTCCTGTAATTTTACTGTTTATAATATGCTATTTTAAGTCAAAGAAATAACAAAGTCTTACATTTAATGTGATTAATGTTTACACAAACGTCTGAACATAAATAAGAGTTGTTTACTAGCAATCTGTTTTATGTTTGTCTGCACAGAGTACTGATGACTACCTAGTTCAAGAAGCTTGTTCCAACAAAGAAATTTGGTTTAAACTTGTTAAAGTCATACTGAAGGATTCCATGAGGTAATCGGTTTCTCTCGCTTCAAGTGTATTGGACGTGTAAACTGTATTAAATTACTGTGCCTCTCTTGTCTCAATGGAAGTGTAAGGCTGTTCATTCTAAAATGCTTTATGTTTTTAAAGAACAAATCCAGGTAGCATCCCAAGTCAATTTTCAGAGTCTGTATGTATTTTATTTTTAATTTTTTAAACCTTACGATTTTTGAATTTTACTTTCTGGAATACTATTCCTAATTGCAATCTTTAACCAAAATAAATTTTGCAAGGTAGCTGTATCAGAGAACATTTGATGTCACTAAACATTTCCTAAATCAAACTTTTACATGATTTAATAATTAAACATTAATAAATTATAATCCATATTATACATGGTTGTGTTTCAGTGTTTAAAACTTTTTCTGGGGTTTTTCTGCTTGTCTATCACGTTCTTTTAAACCATTTATGTACAAATATTTCAAATTTACAAACCTAAAGTATGACATCATTATGTTACATTATGCTGTATTTTAAGAGCATTTTAGAAGTGAAAATTAGTTATGAATGATATAACAATAATGTTTACACTTGATATTGACATATTGAAATTAATGCAGTAGTCTTCTTGAGTCACATCAGGCCAGCAAAGTCTTCAGTGTGAAGTATAAATTAATGTCAGTGTTAAAAGTATGCAAGCAGTTATTTTTTATAAAAAAAATGTTACTCTATATTATCATGGTATCCTTAGTTTGTAAATATTTGTATCTCGTAGAAAGCTTGTAATTGAATAATATAAGACTTTTAAATATGTTTCTAGTGTATCTTCTTTCTTTCTTTTCTTGACATTTGCTTCTGTTTCTTCTTCAGTATTTCTGGGTCATGTTTACCCAAGATATGAAGTTGTTCTTCAGTATTTCTGGGTCATCTTTACCCAAGATATGAAATTCATCTTCAGTATTTCTGGGTCATGTTTACCCAAGATATGAAGTTGTTCTTCAGTATTTCTGGGTCATGTTTACCCAAGATATGAAGTTGTTCTTCAGTATTTCTGGGTCATGTTTACCCAAGATATGAAGTTGTTCTTCAGTATTTCTGGGTCATGTTTACCTAAGATATGAAGTT